CACCAGATCTCATTACAGATGGTTGTGAGCCACCATGTGGGTGCTGGGAATTGAACTCAGGACCTCTGGAAGAGCAGTCGGTGCTCTTAACCTCTGAGCCATCTCTCCAGCCCCCGAGGTCTTCAGTCTTACAGGACACACATCTTAGTGATGGAGCTATGAGAACAGCCTCCAGGACTCAGAGTTCTTGACTGGAGGGGACCCACAAAATAACAGAGCTCAGACGTCAAGCGAACAAAGAAACCGTGCATTCACGGGCCATCTGCAGAGTGTGACAGGAGGACTGAAGAGCGGGGAAGTCGGGTGAGAAATGCCCAGTCTCACCGGAGCCTTTCCCCCTCCAGGGAGCTGCCCAACCCTGCTGTCCAGCACTTCACCTTCGCCCTCACTGACCTGCTGGGCAACCGCAGATTTGGCTTCTGCCGCCTGCGAGCTGGTGCATGCAGCTGCCTCTGTATCCTCAGGTGGGTGACATGGGGACCTTGGGGACCGAGTGGGGACAGATGGGAACAAACACTAGGCCTCGTGACGGACACGGAACCCCACGACTGGTCAGAGTACAGGGACCTTAGAATGTCCAGCCCGTGTCCACACACGGGATGTGTGAATCACCACCCTCCACACAAGGCTGAGGGACCATTTCGGAAGTGAGGGCGGAGAGGCCAGAAGGACCAGAGTGAAACAGTGTCTCCTGGACAGTACAGAACCCACGCTCATGAACGCACAGAGGCACAAGACCTGCAAGCCTTCAAGCCAGCCCAGGCCCGAGCATGGGGGGCAGGGCTGGTGAAGTCCTGCGGTAGAGAGCATTCTTCTCCTGGGAGGCTTGCAGTCTCCAGTGGACGGCTCTACACCCGTGTACTTATAGATAACACTAAGTGGACTCAGTGAGGCTTTTTGTTGTAGGTGGTGGTGGAGGGAGGGGCAGGGGTTTGAGACAGGGTCTCACTATGCAGCCCTGGCTGGCCTGGAACTCATTATATAGACCAGGCTGGCCTCAAACTCCCAGAGATCCTCCTGCCTCTGACTCCTGAGAGCTGGGATTAAAGGCGTGCGCCACTACACTTGGCTGATTGAATAGGTTTTAAAGACAACATTGCCTGAAGTTGAAAGGGGAAGGTTGGGGGGGGGGATACTAAAGAGGTGGAGATGGGGATGGATTTGATGGGGGTGGAGAATTTGATGGGGGTGGGTTTGATGGGGGTGAATAAGTTTATTAAGTTTATTAAGGTACACAATATTTTTGGGAACACAATACCACCACATTTCCTCTCTTTTTGTCTAATATTAAAGAAAGCTTATAACTAATACAAGAAAAATTACATCCAGTAAGTATATACAATATACACAGTCAAGATTACATTAACGATGCCTAGTCCATTAACATATGACAGATTCAGATAAAAACTCCATTATATATATTAACAATGTCCAGTCCAGTAAGTAACATTTGATGGGGGTAGATTTCATGCACACATGAAATTCTCAAACAATAAATTTGTAAGATTACGGGGTCCCTCGAGGGCACTTTCTAGACCCTGACCCCTCCCCGCCTTCTCTCTCTCCAGCCACCTTCCCTGGTTTGAAGTGTTCTACAAGATCCTCAATACTGTGGGGGACCTCCTAGCCCAGAACCAAGTGAGAGCAGCCTCACCCTCAGTCCCCACCCCGGCCCTTGCGTCACCTCACCCTAGCTGAGGCAGTTCTCAGGATCCCACAGCCTGAGAGGAGACCCTCAGAACCCCAAATCGACCCTCCAGGGCAAACTCCTCCTGCACCCCTCAGGTCACCGAAGCTGAAGAACTCCTACAGAACTTACAGCAACACCCTCTTCCTGGACCGGGGTTTTCAGGGGAACCAGAGATGGTGAGTAGCCCCAGGTTTGGGGCTCTGGCTTCTTGCTGGCGGCGGAGGCTGCGAGCCCAGCCGGGGCACCACACAGTTACTCCTGTCCCCCAGGGCAGCAGCTTGGCCATCTGGAGCCAGTGTGGGATCCTGCCTCCTGCCCTGGGGAATAGCAAGCTGGTGAGTGGAGCTGCCCCCCTACCCCCACCCCTACCCCCGAGCCGTAGCTGAGGCCACCATCACCAGTGCAGACTGGCTGAATCTTCTCCCCATGCCCCCATCAGCTTTCTTATTCTGTGGACCCGGATTCTGCCGGCCTGCCGTCTATTCCTGAGAACGTAAGGAGAACGCAGAGTGAAGGGGAAAATGTGGGACGGCGAATCTCGGTTGTTCGCCCCCCGCCCAGCCGCTGTGCCTCTCCATCCCCCAGAGGAATCTCACGGAGCTGGTGGTCGCTGTGAGGGATGAGAACATCGTGGGGCTCTTCGCGGCGCTGCTGGCTGAGAGGAGGGTCTTGCTCACGGCCAGCAAGCTCAGCACGGTGAGGAGGGATCTCCGCCCCCACGGGACCCCAGGGTTGACTCTAACACCCCTTCATTCAGCCCCACCCCTGTGGGGACAATCTGAGGAGGCTCTACAGTGGCTCCTCCTCATTGGTAGCGCGATCTAGGACAGGCGCATCCACTGAGGACCAGACCTGGTCTAGCCCCCCCCCCCCCCCCCGCGCCCCTTCTCCAAAGATGGGGCCTTGGCTCAGTGGGTAAAGTGCGCTCGCCTAGCAAGCATGAAGCCCTGGGTTCCATTCCTAAGCTGGCATCAACCAGGCCGCCAGGCATGGTGCAACACACCTGTAATCTCTGCCTGAGGCAGGAGAATCAGAAGTTCAAGGTCACCCTGAAATACCTAGCTTGAGGCTAGCCTGATACATGAGACCCAGGTCTCAGTAAACAAACAAACAAACAAATAAATAAAAATGAATGAATGAATGAATGAATGAATGAATGAATGAATGAATAAGGACGTTTAAAAAAATTCTAGAGCCAGTGATATGGTTCGGAGAGAAAAGGTGCGTACGGCATACATGGTGGAAGCAAAGATAGACCTTATGAGTTGCCCTCCAGTGTGCACAAGTGAGCACACACACACACACACACACACAAATAAACATAATTTTATTTTTTATTTCCTGCTCTGCTTTTATGTTTTACATTATTTTTAAGATTTTTTTTTAATGTGTATGTCTGTCTGTGGTGCTGGAAGAGGCCGGAAGAAGATCCCCTGGCACTGGAGTTAGAGGCCGTTGGGAATAACCTTGTGGTTGCTGAGAACCGGTTCCTGAGCAAGAGTGGAGGGTGCTCTAACCACTGAGCCCGCTCTCCTGCCCCTCAAGTGTGTTCCTGTGTGCTCAGCGTTTTTGTTTTGCGTTTTTGTTTTGTTTTTCTTTTTTTTTTAAGATTTATTTATTTATTATGTATACAGACAAGGGCACCAGATCCCATTACAGATGGTTGTGAGCCACCATGTGGTTGCTGGGAATTGAACTCAGGACCTCTGGGAGAGCAGTCGGTGCTCTTAACCTCTGAGCCATCTCTCCAGCCCTGTTTTTGTTTTTTCAACACAGGGTCTCACTGTGTAGCCCTAGCTGTCCTGGGACTCTCTCCATAGACCAGGGACTCACAGAGATCCACCTGTCTGCCTTCCCGAGTGCTGGGATTAAAGGCCTGTGTCAGCACCGCCTAGCTGGGTTTTAGCTTTATGTTTTTATGGTTCTGGGGTTGAGACCCAGGGCTTTGCACAGGGTAGGCAAGCTTTCATTGCAGGGCCGCATCCTCGGTACTGGTTCTGTTTGGAGGGCTTGCTTGTTTCTTTTGTTGTTTCCTTCGTGAAATTACATCTTACCGATTTTGTTTGTCAGGGTCTGTGTTCCACAGCCTGAGTGTGGAGGTCAGAAAACAACTTGTAGGAGTTGGTTCTCTCCTTCTGCCATATGGGGCCCTGGGAATCGAACTCAGGTCCTCAGACTTGGCCACAGGATCCTCTACTCTCTGAGCCCTCACACCCACCCTGTTCTGTCGGGGTATTTGTTTTATTTTGTTTTTGAGACAGTCCCACTCCAGTCCACACTGACCTAGAACTCGCTCTGTAGCTGAGCCTGGTCTCAAACTCACCTCAATCCCCCTGCTCCGACTCCTGAGTGCCAGGATTACAGAACCTGCATGAAACTTAGAGTTATTTTTTATCTGAGCACATGGAGCTGTAACTGCCCAAAATCTTTGGTCTCTACTTCCTTAGAGGATCTGAGTTCCGCCCAGCTCCCCAGCAATGGATGGAGGAGACAGGACAGATGGGGGAGGTCGAAGCACCCATCTCAGCAACCCAGGTGGTGGGGGAGTCTAAGGCCTAATTCCACCGCCTCCCTCCTTCTCACCCCCAGCTGACAGCCTGCGTTCACGCGTCCTGTGCTTTGCTCTACCCCATGCACTGGGAGCACGTCCTGATTCCCACGCTGCCCCCACACCTGCTGGATTACTGCTGGTGAGAAAAGAAGGGGTGAGGGCTGAGGAACATTAGCCCAGGGAAAGCCTAGAGTGCTGCTAACCTTTAATCTTAGCACTTGGGAGACAGAGGCAAGAGGATTGCTTTGTGTTCCAGGCCAGCCTGGTCTACATTGAGGTCCTATCACAAAAAAGTTAAATAAGAAAATAAAGAGTTCCAGGCTAGCCTGGGCTACATAAGGCAATCATAGGCCAAAGGCTTGGGGGTTTAAGGCATGTACCTCCCTCCCGTCCCCTCCACAGCGCGCCCATGCCCTACCTCATCGGAGTCCACGCTAGTCTCGCTGAGGTGAGTGCTGAAACACCCAAGGCTCGGGCTGGGGAGGGGGGGGTTCCCTCCTCTCCCTCCAGTTCCTCGGAGCCCCTGCTCTGTGTGGATTCTGAATGACGACAGCCCGCATCTGTCTCCTCCGGCAGAGAGTTCGGGAGAAGGCACTGGAAGATGTCGTGGTGTTGAACGCCGACTCCAACACGCTGGAGACGCCCTTCGACGACGTACAAGCGCTGCCCCCAGACGTTGTTAGTGCCGCTGCCCCCCACGCCTGCTCCTCAAGGTGGAGCCTCCATCTCTGCCCATCTCAGGGTCTCTCCCGTGTTGCCAGGTATCCCTGCTGAGGCTTCGACTGAGGAAGGTGGCGCTGAGCCCCGGGGAAGGAGTGTCCCGACTCTTCCTAAAAGCCCAGGCCCTGCTCTTCGGAGGGTACCGCGACGCACTGGTCTGCATCCCGGTGAGCAAGTGAAGAGGGGAGATGCCCAGGCCTCTTGAAGGACCCTGGGAAAGTCACACCATTAAGAGCACCCGGTGGCTTACGGTCTCATGTAGCCTAGGCAAGCCTCAAACTCAATGCAGCCCAGGATGACCTTGAACTCCTGAACCTCCTCTTTTTTTTTTTTCTTGAGACTGGGTCTCTTGTAGCCCAGGCTGCCCTGGAGCCCACTAAGTAACCCAGCAGCAATCCTCCTGCCTCAGCCTCCCACACTATCAACATTATTTAATGCTGATAGCCACATTACAGACGAGGATGCGGTGCCCCATGAGTACACAGTTGGCGCCCAGCCAGTGCTTGCTAGGTGTATTATGAGGTTGAAAAGGAGACGGTGGGAGACAGAAGAGCGGCAGGGAGCTCTGGAAAGAATCCTTCTTCCAGGGTCAGCCCGTGACCTTCAGTGAAGAAGCTTTCTTGGCTCAGAAGCCGGGGTCGCCGCTGCAGACCTTCCACAAGAGGGCGGTGCACCTGCAGCTGTTCAAGCAGGTGAGCTCCCAATGGGGGGCTGAGGGCGGGACCCAGGGTAAGGAACAGGGGGGCGTGTCCCTGGGAGCGGACCTAGGGGGAGGGGCGAGGATGAGCTGCTTTCCCTGAGGGCGGGGCTTAGGGGGAAGGGCGGGCTGCCGACCCTGGGGGCGGGGCCTAGGGGTCGGGTGAAGACGGGCAGCTGGTCCCTGGGGGCCTGGCCTACCATGAGGAATAAGGATGGGCTGTGGGTCCCTGAGGGCGGGGCCTAGAGGGCGGGGCCTAGAGGGCGGGGCCTAGAGGGCGGGGTCTAGAGGGCGGGGCCTAGAGGGCGGGGCGAGGATGGACTTGGGGACAGATCTTGACTTCAGGGGCCAAGTTGGATGCCTAGTCTTTAGGTTTCCCGATTCCTGGGAGGGACCTGGCCGGGCTGCCTTCCACATCTTCAGGGAGCAACAGGCACTTCCTAGGGCTTGTGTCTGACCCTCTCTCCCTATCCCAAGTTCATCGAAACCCGACTGGAGAAACTCAATGCTGGGGAAGGCTTCTCAGACCAATTCGAGCAAGAGATCATCGCCTGCTGTGGGGCTTCCTCAGGTGAGCCCTGGGGCTCTCACCCCATCAACTCCCCAGGCTTTGGCCTGCCTTGGCACTCACAGTTCTCTCCGTCTCTCCGTTCTCCAGGCGCCCTCCGATCCTACCAGCTCTGGGTAGATAGTCTTAAGGTAACAACAGCCATCCCTGTTCCTGTCCGTAACCAACTTTACCAGCTCCTTCTCTCACTACAGGCCTCAGGAAAAGGCTTGGTTAACCCCCCACCCCCGGGTGGAGGCACAGGGGGCAGGGCTGCCCAGCAGAAGACATCCGGAGGTGGGAAGTGGAGTGTGGGGTCCAGCCCTGGTGACCTCAGGGGCCCAAGGTTCTCCCCTTTGGTGCTTTCTCCTCCAACCCCCTACAGAAAGGTGGTGACGCCCTCTTGCATTCAATGAAGGCCAAAACCCGACCAGCCGTCAGGAACATGTACCGATCGGTGAGAGCAGCTGGGTGGCAGCTCCTCTTGGCTAGGGTGACCACGGGGAAGGGACAGAGGGAGGTCCTGTGTTGTATATGTGTGTGTGCATGTAGAAAACAGGTTGGCATTCTTATGTACTTTCCATTTTGGAGTTTGTTTTAGAGAGAGGGTCTTACTATGTGGCCCTGGCTGGCTTTGAACTTACAGAGAGCCACCTGCCACTGCCTCCTGAATTGCTGGAATTGTCGTGCCCCACCACACCCAATAAACTTGGGTATTTGTTTGTGCCATCGTGCATGTGTGGAGGGCAGAGGACAACTTGTAAAAGTTGGTTGTTAGCCCAGCAGTGATGGCTCAGCCTTTAATCCCAGCACTTGGAGGCAGAGGCAGGCAGATCTCTATGAGTTCGAGGCCAGCCTGGTCTATAGAGCTAGTTCCAGAGCTACACAGAAAAACTCTGTCTCAAAAAATAAATAAATAAATAGAAAATTTTTAATAATAAACTTTAGGGCTGGTAAACTTTAGGGCTTCCCTAGAATCCACAGAGAACTGACACCTGAGTTGTACACTGTCCTCCATAGTTGTATCATGACTCATGTTCCCTCTCCCCCCAGTAAAACACACACACACACACACACACACACACACACACACACACACACACACACAGCCAGATCATTTCACTACCTTTGTTACTTAGCTTCCATTCTTGATTTTTTTCGGAGGGGAGGGAGGGGCATTCTGGAGCTCAAAATTTCCCTCAGACCTGCTTTTACAGTTCAGATCCATCCATTTGATTTTTTTTTCTTACGAACTGTATGGCCGTGGCAGGCTTCTTGTTATCTAGTTCTCATATCTTAAATTAACCCATCTCTGTAAATGTATACCTTGCCACATGGCTCGTGGCTTACCAGTATCTTACATGTTGGTACTCATGGCGGCGGCTGGCAGTGTCTCCCATCCATTTGATTTTAACCCTGACACATGATGGTCAAACCTTTGGTTTATGGCAGGGTGACTCCCTCCAGGAACATTGTGCATTAGTCAAAGGTACAGACATAGCTTGGAAGACACAAGGATGGGTGGATGGCAGGAAACAGCCATCCTGGGAAGCCCAGTCTGTCTCCCTGTGTCAGGTCTAACGGTACTGGGTCATCATCCTAGGCGAAGAGCGGCTTGAAAGGGGTGCAGAACCTGCTTATGACTAAGGTAAGAAGACCCAGGGTGAGCTCCCCACCCACAGGGAATTCAGGGGAGTGGGGATGGTACCCGGGCCCACACGTGCATACCTTCACAGGACGGAGACTCTGGCCTCCAGAGGGGGGGCTCCCTGAGAACCCTAAGCCTCACCAGCCGCTCAGATCGCCTGCAACAGCGCCTGCCTATCAGCCAGCACTTTGGGCAGGTGAGGATGCCCATCTCCACCACTGCATGCACACATGCACGCACACACAGAGTGAGGACGTCTGCTCTCCCTCATCCCCCCCCACACACACACACACCACAGACGCACACACGGATTCTCCCCAAATCCCCCACTCATACCCAGGCTCCACCAAATCATTTCCCTTTGTTGAGGCTCCAGCGTAGCTCAGGCTAGTCTCAAACTCACTATACAGCCAAGTATGACTTTGAACTCCTGATCCGCCACACCCAGTTTAAACTAGAGATCAAACCCAGGACCCTGTGCGTGTTAGGCGAACCTCTACCAACTGAGTTGCATTCTCTCAGCTCCCTGGTTTGTGGGTTTGTTTGTTTGTTTGTTTGTTTGTTTGTTTGTTTTTAGACCAGGCTCGTCTCAAACTCAGAGATTCACCCCAGCCCTTGTTCTGTTTTTAGAGGAGTCTCCCTATGTAGCCAGTCAGGACTCAAACTTGCAATGATGCTCCTGCCTCAGGCTGCAGACTGCTAAGAGGACAGACGCGCAGCAACATGCCTAGCTCTTTCCAATTCAAGCTGGAAAGCCCCAGCCCTGAATTCTGCAGTTCCTGGGCCCCTCCCCATTCTTCCTCCCTTATCTTTTTCAGAACAGGCCCCTCCGCCCTAGCAGGAGACTCAGGCGAGAAGAGGGACCTTCTGAACCCCTTGGCGAGAGGTAAGAAATGAAGCAGGTCAAGGTTGGGGGTACAGGGGACTGATGAGGAGGGTGCCTCCAGACCCTGGAGCAGCCCAATGAAGTCCAGGATGTCCATCCTCATTCCAGGAGCCCTGCCTTGAGCCCCGAGGACACCCAGAGTCCCTGGGCAGAGGAAACTCTAGACGGCAGCTTTCTGGGGTCCGGAGGAGAACTGGATCTATTGAGCGAGATTCTCGACAGTCTGAGCGTGGAAACCAAGAGTGGCGGCCGGCTGAGGGCCAGCCAGAGCTTGAACTGCTGCCAGCAGGGGGCGTCGGAGAGCTGCTTCAGTCTGGTAAGACCCAAGACCCTCCCCGTGCCCTCCCAACCTGTCAGTCCCATCCTCACCTGACCTCCCCCCCACCGCCACCTCTGCCCAGCCTGACATCCCAGCGAGGTCACCATGGCAACTGGAAGAGGATGAGCATGAGCGATCCCCGGAACCCCAGCCCTGGTCCTTGCCAGGGGACCTGACGGCTCTGCAGGACACTCCATCTTTAGAGGTTGCAAGCTGCTCCATGAACTGTTCGCAGCCGCCCTCAGACATCTCTCCGCAAGCATCTTCAGCCACTTCAGCAGACCCCAGCTGCCAAGGGGACCCCGAGCTCTCTGCTCCCACCGAGCCGGATCCTAGAATCCCACAAAGCCCTTGCTCCAGGCTCCCCCCAGTGCCCACTCAGCCCAGCCCGCCAAAGAGCCCCCAACTTCTTGCCCCCACAAAGCTCAGCTGTGACGCTGTCGGGACATTACAATCCATTCGGTCTCCCTCACACTCCAATTCTCCAGAGATCCCCAGAAACCAGCCTCCCCAGGTCCTGCGGAATCAGACTCGAGTGCCACCCCTCAAGGAGCGAGGAGTCAGCAACCCGCAAGGGCCCGCCGCCAGGCAGCCTCGCGTTGCTGACCTGAAAAAGTGTTTTGAAAACTAAGAGCCGGGGTGTGGAGGGGACCCCGGCTCTCAATAAAGCTGATTTTTTTTCCCTTGGCAAATTTATCTGGAGCCTCTGTCAGCTCAGAAACCTACCTCACCCACCACCAGAAGCGACCTCTAACTACCTTTAAGGTTCATCTGAAGGCCCTTCCCCGCCATTTCCAGCCTGTTAGGATCCTGAAGAGCTTACAATTCCAACCGAACTCATCTAAACTGATATTCCCACAAGCTTTAAAAAAAAAAAAAAAGCCGGGCGGTGGTGGGGCACGCCTTTAATCCCAGCACTCGGGAGGCAGAGCCAGGCTGATCTCTGTGAGTTCGAGGCCAGCCTGGTCTACAAAGCGAGTTCCAGGAAAGGCGCAAAACTACACAGGGAAACCCTGTCTCGAAAAACCAAAAAAAAAAAAAAAAGAAAAGAAAAAGAAAAAAAAGAAACCTTTATTATACCTTACTATCAATTTCATATAAATATATAAAAAGTGAGCAGCCCCAATCCTCCTTGGCCCTCAAAGTCAAGGTCTTTGAAGAACTTTCTTCCCTTCTATTCTTAAGCACTGGGTGAGTCTGATCGCTCAGAGAGGGTGCTGCTTTCCCCCAAGGTCACACAGCAAGGTAGGGAAGACGGCTGACAGGGGAGGAGGGGAAGGAGCTAGATGGGCAGGCAGCCCCGCACTGGCTCCTTGGAGTCCTGGGGGGCCCGGGCCTCAGCTGCTGCGTGGGAAAACTGAAAGAAAGGACAGGAAGTTTGTTGGGCCTGCAGTCATGGTAGGAGACACAGCAGAGGCAAGATCATGTGAGGTAAACGGTGAGGAGGTGAGATCCCCCGGGCCTGGCACCCCCAGCTTCATGCAGAGCCAAGCAGAGGCAGCATGCTGCATTGCCCACCAGCCGGGTGCTCCCAGGGTTCCCCACCCCAAGTCCTCCTGAGCCACCAGAGGCTGGCATGTCTCCGAGATGGCTGCTGTGGGCCAGGGTGTGCCAAGGCAGTCCTGGGTGGTGGCGGTGGAGGTGATGATGATGGCGGCGGCGGCGGCGGCGGCGGCGGCGGCGGCAGCCTATGGCCAGCACCCCGGCGTTCAGATGAGCCGCTCTTCTGGGGGCAGCTTGAGGTTGGGGGGTGGCGGAGCACGGGCACCCACCTGCTCCTCGCTGCTGGGCCGGTAGGTGCCCTCCGTCTGGCGCTTTTCTCGAAGTTTCCGCATCAGCAGGAATAGTCCCACCGCTAGGAGGATGACTCCCAGGATGGAAAAGACCACGATGATAGCCACGAGGCCCTCTGGGGACTGCAGAGAGTGGGAGAGGGGACAGGCGTGACTAACTGCATGTGGGCCCTACGCCCCTCCCCCCACCTAAGTCACCTGGCAGGGTGCTTTCTGCTTTCTGGGGTTCCAAGGCTTTGCCCAGACCTAGAAACACTGCCCCAGCACCTCCCACACTGGTACCTCCGTCCCTGTCCCCTTCACACCTGCCTGTTCTGGGCTACATGTGAGTGCTTGGGTTCTGGACAGATATAATTCCCTTGTCCTCCCTTCTTTCTTCCTTTCTTTTGTGTTCTCTGTCTGTTTCTTCAGAGTCTCAGGTGACCCAGGCTGGCCTTGACCTTGCTATATATATAGCTAAAAATAACTCTGAGCTTCCTGCCTCCTCCTCTTCCACAATGCCAGCTCTGGGACCACAGGCTTGCGTCACCACACCCAGCCCTTTTATGGTCTTCTGATAGGTCTCATCTACCCCAGGCTGGCCTTGAATTGTGGCAATCCCCCTGCCTCAGCCTCCTAAGAGCTGGGATGACAAGTGTGTATCACCATGCCCACCAGGCAAGACACAGTACAGGAACTCTCTATGTAGACCAGGCTGGCTTCTATGTAGACCAGGCTGGCTTCTATGTAGACCAGGCTGGCTTCTATGTAGACCAGGCTGGCTTTGAACTCAGAGCTCCACCTGCCTGTCTCTCCAGAGTGTGTGGGCCACCACACCCAGCAGGACGCAATATTCTTGTTCACACTTACACGGAGAGGTCTTGATACCTCTGTCTGGGACTTTGTTTGTTTGTTTGTTTGAGACAGGGTTTCTCTGTGTAGCTCTGACTGTCCTGGAACTCACTCTGTAGACCAGGTTGGCCTCTAACTCACAGAGATCCTCCTGCATCTGTCTCCTGTGTGCTGAGATTGAAGGCATGTGCCACCACCACCCAGCACTCTGTCTGGGACTCTAAGTGGTCCAATTTCGTGGGTAGAGTGTTTGCCTGGAATGTATAAGACCATGGTTTTGACTCCCAGCACCCCATAGACCCAGCATGATGGTGCACACGTCAACTAAGCAATGAGGAGGTAAAGGCAGAAGGATCTGGAATTCAAGGTCATGTGGCTACAGAGGAACTTGGAGGCCAGCCTGAGCTACACCAGTCCCCACTTAAAAGAGGAAGAAGAAGGAGAAGAAGGAGGAGGAGGAGGAGGAGGAGGAGGAG